TGATTGTCTACAAGAAAATAAGGTTTTGTTACAACAATAATGTTCTGTTTGTTACGATTGTCTACAAGAAAATAAGGTTTTATTACAAAATACATTGCTGGTGTTCCTTAGGTTATGATTATGTATCAGAAGTTCAGGGTTTTATGAAAACATATTTCCAGTAATGTTCTCAAAGCAAGTTTTATTGTAATGCAGAGCAATTACAATATTCTAGCTGTACCATTATAAAAAACATACCTCAGGGTTTGTTTGTAATTGTCATAATAGGGTGTTTTTTTCTTTATTTAAGGAATATTACTACAGATTCCATAACTCAATAAAAATTCTTTTATGATGCAGGAGATAAAAGAAAAACTGGAGCAACGACAAGCAGCTGATCTGCAAACCCATAACAGGTTGACGAGTGAGAGTGATCAGGCAGGGTTTCTGCTGCAAGGATATTTTCCTTACCATGGTATACTTGGTAGTGCTCTAGCTAATGTCATTGTCATTATAGGATTTGCTGCTTTTGCATATACTGTAAAATATGTACTGACATCATTAACCAAGTGATGGTCCACTTCTTCTGTGATGCTGTGTAGTAAACACAGAAACAATGTTAAGAGATTGGCTCTACATTTACACGGAACAGTTGTACATATGTTGGACTTTGTGACATCGAAGAAGCAGCAGTGTGGGGTGTAGCTATGGAGAGAAATAAATTTGTTCTATGGAAAGTACTGTGGTGTATTTATAAATATCTTGATGAACTATTAATTAATTATTAGTTAATGTGCTACTCTTTCATAGTGTGAGAACAAAATCTTTCAGATACAAACTTACAAAACAAGGCTAGAATGTTCTAGTTACACTGTATAAGATTAGAGACTAGTGTGTTGTGATTATGCAGTAAGAGATCATAGACTCAAAATATTGTGGTCATACAGTAAAAGAATACAATCTGTATTGTGGTTATAAAGTAGGAGATCATAGACTGGAAATATAGTAATACAGTAAAATAATACCATCTGTATTGTTGTTATAAAGTAGGAGATCATAGACTGGAAATATATTAATACAGTAAAAGAATACAATCTATAGTGTTGTGGTTATAAAGTAGGAGATCATAGACTGGAAATATAGTAATACAGTAAAATAATACCATCTGTATTGTTGTTATAAAGTAGGAGATCATTAACTGGAAATATAGTAATACAGTAAAAGAATACAATCTATAGTGTTGTGGTTATAAAGTAGGAGATCATAGACTGGAAATATAGTAATACAGTAAAAGAATACAATCTGTAATGTTGTGGTTATACAGTAGGAGATCATAGACTGGAAATATAGTAATACAGTAAAAGAATACAATCTGTATTGTGGTTATACAGTAGGAGATCATAGACTGGAAATATAGTAATACAGTAAAAGAATACAATCTGTAATGTTGTGGTTATACAGTAGGAGATCATAGACTGGAAATATAGTAATACAGTAAAAGAATACAATCTGTATTGTGGTTATACAGTAGGAGATCATAGACTGGAAATATAGTAATACAGTAAAAGAATACAATCTGTAGTGTTGTGGTTATACAGTAAGAGATCAAATATAGAAATTTTTTGGTTATGTAGTTATAGGTTATGGGCTATTGTTTTGTGGTTATACAGTGTAAGATTAAAAGCTAGTATTGTGTTATATAGTGGAAAGTTATATAGGGTACAGTATGTAGTGTTTTTATCATCATTAGTGAGACTGGGAGTGTAAGGTAGGGTACAGTGTATGGTGTTTTTGTCATCATTAATAAGGCTGGAAATGTAAGGTTAGGTAAAGTATATAGTGTTTTTGTCATCATTAGTGAGGCCAAGAATGTAAAGTAAGGTACAGTGCATAGTGTTTATCATCATTAGTGAGGCTGGGAATGAAAAGTAGTGTGCAGTACATAGTGTTTTTGGGTTCACTAAGTGGAGTACTATACGTAGTGTTTTTGTCATCATTACTGAGGCTAGGAATGTTAGTATATTATTAACAAAGTTTGGGGAGAATTTTTGATTTTGGTAAAACATCCAAATAGGTTTTGTTTGTCCATTGTAATTTCTTTTAAGCATTGCAAAAGGCTTTAGCATTGTGGTAGATGTTTCTAGCACTGGTTTGATCATTCTTAAGTACACAAGTTAACAATTTATCTATGATGCCTATGGGTGATGGCTGTGTTAAAACACAGAAAAGTCTTTTACAATGTTCTGTAGGAAACTGTCTTGTTAAACCATAACCAAAAACTGATATAACATACAACTTTATTGTGGTCTGTAAATTCTCTTTCAGTTTTGAGACAAGTGTACTTATGTACTTGAGAATGATCGCACCAGTGATCGAAACGTCGTTCCTGTTCTAAAAATAAATCTTAGATAATGTAAATGCTGTAACTTATAATTAATCAGTAAGTAAACTCAAAACAAAACTATTTTGGTAGAGTGTTTGTATAATGCCATGTTTTTGTTTGATGTTATGTGTGGAAGATCAAAGGAGAAGTAAATTGGTGTAGTAGGTTTTATATACACTTCAGTAATAAACTTATATTGAACCTTGGAATTTAAACATTTAAGAACAGATGACAGTGAAGTCATTATCATGGCTTGTAAAGTAAATGCCTTTATTGTTATGGATAAAAAATATTGTCATGAATATAATAATGAAAATTGTGTCTAACCAAGCTCATTTTCAGATACTTCCCAAAAATCTCACCAAAGCTAGAGAAAAACACTTAACATATGCCTTCTTAAACTTAAAAAGAGGGTCTACCTTACAACAGTTTATATCAATTTAAAGCAGCTCCGGTGCCAGTACGTCCCAAATTATCAAGGATGACTGCACCCTATTGCTTACATCTTTAACAGTTTTAGTTATAACCTAGTAAACTTCTTGTTCTGGGTGTTTTCTTCTTGTGCTTCTAGAGACTCATGATTCATTTTAAATAAGAGGTCTTTGTTAAAAAAGAACTAGATATATTTGATCACTTTGCTAATAAGCTTTGACATAATTATTAATTAAAGTACTTGCTTTGGAAGCCTGACATATTTCTTTAGAATTGCCACAGAATAACTCTTTAAGAACTTTACTCCCCTGTAAAGTCCTATCTAAATTTCTAGAATTCACAACAACTTTACTTGAGCTTTAATCAAACTGAAGATATGATTATGGGATTTCCCATTGTTTCTCTCGGGCAAATGTCATCAGGACTAAACTTGAGCAAAGGACTTTTAATACATCTATATAAGACCCTATTTTCTGGCTACAGCATGTGGATGATATTATTGTTGGCTATATTGTACAACCATCTTAACGACCAATTTCCCTCCATCAACTTCATTAGAGAGGATACGGTCCTTTTTCATTCTTATTAGTTTCCGAAGTTCAACGGAAGTTTATTACTGAAGCAGTTCACTTTTGCTTTGGTAATCTGTACATGTCACCAATCACATGCCATTATAAAAACACTGCCATAATGTTAAAACCATTTGCAATACTCAAACTAAGTTAGAAATGGAGAAACAACATTTGTTTAAATGCTTTAACAAAATCAACAAATACCTTTCTAACTTAGTTAATAATATACTATAAAGGTCTTAAAATAAATACAAATATGAAGACATACCCAATATTGATAAGAAAAACACCATACAGTATCTTACTTTACATTAAATTAGTATATTAAATAGAATGTACCATATGTAATGCTAAATATACTGGAAAAACAGAAAGAAACTTAGACACTAGACTCAATGAACACAAAGTTCCTCTTCTTGAACATTGAAACAATTTTAACATAACTGAAACAGCCAGTTTTAAACTATGAAAATTATTTCATCATTACAAAAGTAATAGGATCTTTCAAGCTTACCATGAATATGCACCCCTATATCTCTATGTAATGTGTTTGAAACAAACACCTGACATGGGTATGAAAGGACAAGAACCTGCTGGCTATGTTTTTGACCCAAACACCTGACATGGGTATGAAAGGACAAGAACCTGCTGGCTATGTGTTTGACCCAAACACCTGACATGGGTATGAAAGGACAAGAACCTGCTGGCTATGTGTTTGATCCAAACACCTGACATGGGTATGAAAGGACAAGAACCTGCTGGCTATGTTTTTGACCCAAACACCTGACATGGGTATATAATGACAAGAACCTGTTGGCTATGTGTTTGACCCAAACACCTGACATGGGTATATAATGACAAGAACCTGTTGGCTATGTGTTTGACCCAAACACCTGACATGGGAATGAAGGGACAAGAACCTGTTGGCTATGT